CTGCTCAGGCGTTCCCTGAGGGTCGAGCCCCAGCCTCCATTCGCTTTTGAGACTCAGTCACCATTCGATGCAAAATTCATCAAAAAGCCACACCTGGTCACATGAAGCAACAAGTCAGTGTATCTGTAGCAGATGTACCCGTCCCCTTTGTGACTCTCCCAGCCCCACACTGCAACTCTGACCACACTTCCTCTCCCGCCTCCATGGACCCACTAGCCATTCCAATCCTGCCCGTCTCTCTCCCAACCTGACTGATTTCAATCACGTTCCCAGTGTAGCTTTGGGCACTAGCGAACATCTACACAAACAGGGACCCATTTACAAACACACAGCTTGAAGTAAGCTGAGTGATTTTTGGTTCAGGTCCCATGAACGTATACACTTGCTCACAGAGATTATTAAAGAATTACTCTTGTGGGTCAGCACATGGGATTGCTTTTTTGGCATTTTAATAAAAAATAATATATTAACCACTATTGCTATTAGGCAAATTAGGGGTTTGTCATAAATCTGAATTACTTCATAGAACTCTCTCTCTTGTTGTCCTTCCATTAGATACAGACACTGTCAGTTCCAGAAAGCAGAGATGTTAAACATTTCACTTTGGACCAGAAAGACTATTTGGTTATTGCAAGTCAGACAACTGATTCCAAATCCATCCAGGTTGTAATGATCTCTTCTTTCCTCTGTTTATAACGTGTGCATAGTTTGTTTAGTTGTGGTTATGAGAAGTTATGACACAGCTGCCACAGTATTAGTACACCCTATATCACTCTGCTAATGTGCCTTGATGTTGGAATGGCACTGTCATCTTTACAGGTGGGATGCAGTTCAGTTTCTGTGTCCCTCCAGCTTTTCACTTTGTGACCGAAGCCACCAAAAGAAGTGTTATCGGTTGTGATTAGTTTTTGCTTGCCTGCTTGGAGCTGGACAGAGAATGACAAGTAACTTCACTGAGCTGCCAGCTGTTCATGATTAATACATTTTAAAGAATAATTAAAATAAGTGTTCTGCATGACATCTGGTTTCTGTTATCTTGATATATAATTTTGTGTGCATCTAAAGAAAAAAAAGTATTTATTATTTTCCATAGGTTTTCCAGTGGAATAAAAGGATATTTACATTACATCACCAACTCCCACTTAATGGAGCTCTTTCAACAGCCTTGTTTTCCAGAGGGGGTATTATATACTTAGTAATTTCTCTGTCAAGTGCCAGCCAAAATACCCTTCTGTACCAGTGGTCGGATAATGAGTTTAAAGAGCTTAATCAAGTGCCAGTAAATGAAATAACACACATGGAGGCCTTGACTTCCGGATCTGATATCTATTTAATAGTAGCAAAAGGTATGAACATGAATTTTGCTAAGCATATGCTAGTCTGTTTGATGGAAAATATTCTGAGGCAGCCTTTTAAACAAAGTTTTACATGGAGGGGAGAGTGGACACAAACTCTCATAACATTATCATCAGGACAATCTCTGCTTTTTATTGTACAGACAGAAGTGTCACTTTTGTTATCAAGTCCATACAGAACAAATGGGTTATTGATTTGAACAGTGGGAGCTGATAAGTCTTTACTACTATTTATGTATGTTATTCCACAAATGTGACATGAGGCATATTGTTTTCTTAACTCGCCTCTGTTGAAAAGGCAGATGGTTCACTTCCCAGTTAAATATCCATTTCCTTGCATTTTCCACCAGAATCATTAAATAATTAGCATTTGGTAGAAGGCAAAGTAAACATGCACCTTTATAGACTAACTAAAGTATATAGATCACAGGCATTCTTAAACTCAAGTTAATTTCATCAGATGGGTTCATGAAAGCTTATACTCTGTGTATATCTTATTTAGGTCATACACACATGTTCATGGCATCTGATCTACAATCACACAGCTTGCTTTAAGCCACGTGATTATAGATTTGGGTCCCCATTTGTGCAGATGTTCAGGAGGACAATCTAAGTAAGTTGGTTGTGAGGGAGGGTCAGGTAGGATTGGGAAGCTAGCAGGTCTGAGGGAGGGGATCAGTGGATCTGGTTGGGGGGGTTGGTCATCCATCTTGGGGTGGGGATCAGAGGTCTAAAAATAGCCCAGTCAGTGTGGGGTGAAAAATAGGAAAAGCACATCCCTTGGACTGCGGTGAGCAGCTGGACTTTCCTAGCCTCAGAGATGCACTCTGCACCTGTTCAGTTAGATTGGACAGGGGTTAGCTCAATCTGTGTTGTGCATGTCTTTAGGTGAACTAATTTAGATTGGACTGGCCATTTTTTTTGCCCTATTTAAACTCCCCAGACAGAGCTTCAGGTATGTATATAAAGGTGTACATCTAGCTTGCCTTCTGACTGACGTAAGACTAATACAGCTGACTACCTCTCTTAGCATTTGGTAACCACTGTCCCAGGCCAGCTATCTCCTGTTCCAGATACAAAGGAGATGCCATTTTGTGCTTCACTGGCTGCATCTACGTGAGATGCTTACTGCTCAGTAGCTCCTTACTACTGCGCAGTAGTGTCACATGACATGAACCATGATGTGATGCTACTGCGCAGTAGTAGCGAGCTACTGCACAGTCAGTGTCAGCAGGAAGCTGGGTGGGGATATAACTGGTTACTATGCAGTCATTTAGTAGTTGGATATGCAGGTACTAAATGACTGTGCAGTAACAACTGCGCAGTCAGCATCTTGTGTAGATGGGGCCACTGTGTGGCAAGAGCTGGCTTTATGTCAGCCATTGAATAATGTTTGTTTAATTACTGGACACACAAAATGTTTGGTTTGTTGTTCTTGCTTTGCAGAATCCAGTAATTCAATTGAAATTTTAGTCTGGGAAACAGGACAATCTTTCTTCAGGCATTTTCAATCCCTTCCATTTTATGCCATAACCAAAATCCACTCCTTCATGCCCCCTTCAGGTTTAGGTAAGTTTGTTCCAGTACTACTTGCTCTGTTATGCTGTTTTGGAAAATGCACTTAGATAATATTGTAGTTGTATGTAAAGATGAAATCATCTTTTTAATGGTAAGGATGATATCAGTCAAATCAACATGACATAAAAGTTTGGATCATAAATAACCCAAAATACAAAAGCTCCCCAGTAATTAGGCACTATTGTAAATTAATATCAATTCATAATGACTATGACATTTATGCAACAGCATCAGTTGAGGCTGGGGGGTTGAAGGAGAGCATACTGGCGTGATGGAATAATGTTGGCTGCAGGTCTGGAGGAAACTAATTATGGCTATCTGTAAAAATAACAGTAATGATAATTGCACTTTCCTGGCTAGACCAGGGCTCTGTTTTTGTGAAAAATTTGTTTTCCACATTCAAGTAACTTAATGGGAGAAATACTGACCTCATCTACATCTATTTTTAAATCCTTTGACTACAGTATAATTAAATCTAGTGTATAAATTAGTATAAATGAGATCCTCATTGGTTTCTTCTCTATAAGCAGAGAGAGCTTGTTAGCCACGTTATTCTGAAGTCAGGCAGAAATTAGTAGTAGTTCTCAACCTTTTTAGGTATGAGACACTCCTTGGAAACTGCCAGCTCTTAGTTTTCACTCTTTTTTTTTTTTTTTGACTATAGAAAAATA